ATATATATATATGCATTAGCTGACAATATTGAAATATTATACAAGTCTGTAATGGGTTGGACACGTTATGTGTTACAAATATTACATTTGTCTTTTCAAGACCTAAGGGGAGATACAGTTGAGTACAAGAAAGTTAAAGTGCAGCAAGTTTACACAGATAATTTAAAATGTAGAATTCAATATTGAAACACTGTAATACTAAAAGTTTTTAGCCTATTATAAAACTAACAGAAGAAAGTTTATGCGTTTTTATCATATTGTAAACATTTTTTATGAAACTGACAAGATTTGCTTTGCATAAATAACAAATAAACACATTTGATCACACTCTAATTACTTTAGATACACTCACTGTCAAATGAAGTTAAGCACCCAGAAGGAGTGGCCAGATTTGAATGTTATTTGGTACAAATGGAAATCATTTTTGGGTTTGTGAAAGATTCAGTTTGTAATGAACTGGTTGTCTAAAACAAGCACCAGAGGGTGTTAATGGTGGCATCAGTGTTGTTAGATATTTACCAGAGTGCTTGACCGGCAGTGGACAGTGAATGAGAGTCAGCAAACACAGGATGCCTCATAGACAGATTAGACAGCATTACCAGTGCTTGATGTGGATCACTTTGTGGGTTCACTTATAGCTGGGCATGTGGTACAGATACCACAGTGGTCCGGTGATGGAATCAATGAGAATGTGTTAAATCAATGAGTGCATAAGGACTTCTTGGTGGAATATTTCTTTGTTGTAATGATGCTTTTTGCCATTAAATCTTATACCATTGGAAAGTCTGTTCATTTCATTTTTAAATGGTGCCACATTTATAAGGAAAATGCATTTGTGGGATGAGCAGTAGAGTTGCGTACCTTCAAATGATGCTAATCAGGTACCTGCGATAAGATTTATTGCCAAGAAACATTGTTACAACAAAGAAATAATCTAATAAACACAAATGTCCTTACTTTTAGGCACAGTGTGAAGGTTTTGTTGTTTTCAGCGACATCTAGTGGTTGAATCATCCTCCCTTGTCCTCCCCCCACCCCCACCCCCTGCTTCCAAATGCAAAGGAGTTGCTACGGTGTCTCTCAGGTGTCAAAAACCTTTGATAATTCCAACCGCGATGTCTACCAGCAGCTTCAGGGCTAGTGATGTTTCAAGTGGTAAGATTATGAGCTTTAATAAGTAAAATTATCCCAGCTACAATGACAGACAACAAATATTACATTTATAGTATTGCAACTAAAACCGTTTTTGACGCCGCCACCGCAGTTTGTCCTTCATGAGCCTTCGTAGACAAGATGGTGGTGCAAGATGGCGGCTGCCTGTAATGGCGACCCACGACCATGGAGATATAAACAGCTTTTTATAAGGTAAAAATAATAAAACAAGGTCTTTGTCTGCAATGATTAGACATGTTTTTTTATTATTGTCATTAGTGATTATCTCAATATCAGCTAAAAGAACTGACAAAATCCTACACACTGTGCCTTTTATGTTCTAAGTTTATATATATATATTGTGAAGATTCAGGTCCTCCAAGATCAGCCAAATAAATATTGTTCTTCTGTGAGCAAGGCCTTATAGAACCCCATGGCGTCTGTAACCTTAACACAGGGATCAACCTCCTTGTGACACCTTGTGTCATCCTGTATCGTGCCTCAGTGACTGGCATCATCTGGACAGTAGGTTCATCATTCTATGGGTAGGCTGACATTGACACTACGTTTGGAGCGGTGCTGTAACCAGGAGACCTGGCCTGTTGACCACCAAACGTATGTGCATATGGCAGTGATGAAGGAACTAGACCGATTGTTGTTAGCATTACTGCATGACTCCTGATATCATGATGTGGGAAGCCATTAGATTGTCTAGAAAACAACTGTGTTTACAAGCAACTTGTATTGTGAGGTCCCCATACGTTTTACCCAATCAAAGGCCTGGTCTATCTGATCTATCTGATCTATCGGCTCTTGAAGGATAGTTACTCAAGCTGTGGGCTAACTTGCAGCAAGAGAGGATCCAACAGTTGTATGATTCTGTTTGTCACCAAATCACTGCTTGTGTGAGTCAAAGGACACCGTTCCCTACTGATATTGGGACCAGGACTGCACTCGCTCTATCAACCTTGCCATCCAGTCAATCTACCATAACATGGACTTTCCACTCTGTTCAGGTGCTAAACGTCTTTTTGTCGGTGAGTGTACATGTAAGTATTTTTTTACACAGCTTCCTTTAAATGATCACATCTGTTCTCTTTTGTTTCAGGACCAGCTGTTGTTCTGTGATGATTGTGACAGAGGCTACCACATGTACTGTCTGAGCCCACCCATGTCTGAACCACCAGAGGGTACGCACAACAGTTGTCTAATACATGCTTGTAAACTGTAGTTACAGCTGAGTCCACAGCCTGGTGTTTGGTCACACCACACATCGTGGAGCCACCATGTTGCTGTTAGCACAGCATCATGGAAGTGTTCCTGCTGTAGATGGTGACTTGGACTTAGGAGAGTGAGACCTTTGATCAGAACTGTCATATTTTTTTGTGTAACTCAGGTCTGTGCAGCTCTTTCCTGGAACATCTTAATCTGAGTACACCAGGCTGAGAGAGTCTTGGCGGTGATCACAGAAAAAGGAGCAGGAACATCTATTTAAATAAAACTGTCATTTGCCACATAAGATGGCTGCCTCGGGATGCTTGATGGTGTTGTCATGGAAATGAGTAGTAGAAAGATAATCTGTTTCCATGGCAAAAGTGTCACTTGGCTGAAGATACAGTAGCTGAGGCACTTGTGTTCAACACCCAGTAACTGTGTCGAGCTCTGCCCACACATGAATGCTTTTAATTTACAAGAGACGGGTTTTACGCACAGCCTCTTCTTTGAGGTTAGCACTCTCATTGATTCTGTCATGTGGATGGTAAACCTTAATGGTGTGGATTTGACTATCTGCGCCTAATGCTCGCACTTCTTCTGGCTGGACTCGGGTTTATTTTAAAGGATTAAAACCAAGAGATAAACTTTAACATCAGCTGCAAGTTGGTTATTTATTGTTAGAACAATCAAATCCTCTCAAACCTTAGCTACAGCATGTGGTGCTTTAATTTACAGTGTTGCTTAGTGCTCAGTGTGAAATGAGGGATAAACCCACAGGACTGTGCAATATTCCTGATTGACTGTCTGATCTTTGTGTCTTACAGGGAGCTGGAGCTGTCATCTGTGTCTGAGGCAGCTGAAGGAGAAGGCTTCGGCCTACATCACCCTCACTTAATCTGCAGAGCTCATCTTCTTGGCCTTTTATCCTCTCCCAAACCACCTCTCTGTCTGCTCCAGCACACTCACCTCTCCCCTTCTACTGATCTGCTCACCACGACTCGCTCCGCAATCTGTTCCCCGTGATCCTCGGCGTGACCGAGCACTCAGACTCCACACAGCGGCTGCACCCACTCTTTAACATCTCTCCAGCGGCAAGCCGTCCTCCGTCCTCTTGTCACTGAAACTCCCTTTTGTGCTCGACCTGAACCTCAGCCCCCCCGCCACCTCCTCCTCATCGTCTCTGCTCCATCTCAGCAGAGGGATTCATCAGCTGGCAATAAGTTTGCTAGCAAGACCCACACTTCAGGCCGTCAAGGGCACTTCTGAGGCATACCACTCCACAGGAAACCTGCATAAGGGCCCTCGGACGAGCCCTAATGATCTTCAGCTGCAACTCCGTCAAGTGGTGAGGATGGATAAGATGGTGTTTGGGAGAGGACAATGCAGTGAAGAGCCTGGATAACCATGGAGCCGCGTGTTTCATTGTTTGCCAACTGTGAAATGTACACAAGACCAAAATTTCATTTAGCCCTTTCTGTCCTGGCATAGCCGAGACACTAAACTCTCTTCTGGTGTTTGTCTGCAGGGCTCTCTGCCCTGTGAAGTTTCCAATGAAGAAGTGAATTGTACAGAATTAAGACTGCTTTTTAAATGGCACACTCATGAACAAACTCTCCTCAGTGGTAAATAAGGATCATGTGGTCAGGGTCTCGGATCATCTCTGGCCTCAGCCTGTCCTCTCTCCATGCATGGGGTTCCCACAACGTTTAACGGGGCATTCTGGGACTGACGCCGGAGGTTTTAGTGCATGGACGTTGGTCTCCTGATGAAACGAGAGGAGGCGATCAGATTTCTCAGATCAAACTGTGTATTTAGGAATAACAATTTAGGTTTAGCATTTGTCCCAAGCTGCCCCACCCCCGCGTGGCCCTGTTCTCATCCTGCCGGTCCATGAAACCATGACTGTGAAGCCAATGCAAGACTGACACACTCCTGGTGCTCGGTGTGTTTCATGTTCAGAATGTAGGACTGGTGTGTGTAAGCTGCAGATGTTTGTCCCACACATGTCGAGGCCTAAAAACACTTTTTTAAATATATTTCTTTTTTAATTACGTCCAAATGCATGTAGTTAAGTGTTTTGAAGAACTTTGAATTCAAACGGAAAGGAAAGCACACTTAATTCGCAATAACGTGTTTGTGAGACGAACTCTTTTGTCAGCCTTGTGTGTGCCTGTGTCTGTTTGTGTGAGTTCATTTGGCACTAGCTGTAGTAAGTTTTTATTTTTATTTTTATGTTTTTGAGAGGACAGGTGTTACGAATGTAAGGAGAATCAGCGTTTACCCATTCAGGCAGGCTGGTTGAGGTCGGGTTTTGGCACTAAAGAAATTTGCAAACTATGGAATCCCTGGAAGTTGTGACTCCACTACATCAGTATAGTTTGCTACATGATTTAATTTTTGAGAAGGGGGTTCACCTGCATTGCTTTCACAAAAAAAAAAAAAAACATTAATTGGAATTTTTAAATGAGGTACCATCCAGACTGAAAGAGGCTGTTTCCTTCAGGTCCTGATCTAATGCTTCTCTCTCTGATAGCTGTGGTTTTGGCAGAATTTGTATAAAACATTACTTTGAGGTAAACACGATGAGTCATTCCTTAAATATTTTCTCCAATATCCTTTTTTATTAATATTATTGTTTTTACTGAATAACAACAAAGAAAACCCATCGGTTTGGTCATTTTCTTTGGAACTATTTCCGTGGGGACAGTTTTTGTTGACGTCTTTTTAGGTGCTGCTGAGGAGATTTTAACCCATTCTTAAAGCAAATGGCCTCAATTTCTAAATGTTTCTTGCTCCATCTTGGCTTCATTATTCTTTCAGGACTTTTTTTTTTATTTCCAGTGACATTTAGGTTGAAAGATTGTGAGGCCATGTCACATGCTTTTGACTGAACCTCAGTGAATGTGTTTAGTGTCTCCATCCTGTAGAAGCCATACAGTTTATATTTCCAGCTCTTCCCCCCACCCCAGGAATTCTGTTTATTTTTGGACTTTGCTGCTATTTCTTTCTACTTCTACCACCGATTGCAACATAAACTCAAATCATGATCAGTCCACCCTAAACCTAACATCTAAAAAATAAGAATAGTCTTCTTGAACTTCTTAACTTTTTTTTCCAGCTCAGCCAAAATGTTTCAGATTCTGATGTTTCTGATTTTTAAAATTATTTTTATCCAAAAATATTTCATAGTTTCCTGGTTTTGCATGAACCACGACAAAAATGAAGCCGGTTTTGTCTCAGTCTCATTGCTGTTTAACTTTAATTTTGTGATGAAAAATTTATAACTGGCAAAAAATTGTAAACGTAAAAACAAAATAGGTCACAATTATTTTGGGAGCAGCCAAGCAAAGCTCTTTTGTCTACTTTGTAAAATGACATTAATGTGGACACTCCTGTCACTTCTGGCACATCATGTATGGAGGTAGAAATGGTGCAAATGTCAGCTGCAGAATTTTGATCTGGAATTTGTAAAAATTTGATTTGAGAGTTGAGCATTTGTAGTGTCAGATTTGAGAAGTTGTACCTTTGAGTAGTAGCTGTGCTTAATATATAGACACAAATTTGAAAAATACACACAAGTCTGTAACTCATTATATTTGTGTAAAGCTAAATTTACATGTGCGTGACCATTTTCTCTGACTTTACATTCACAAAATATTTGTGTAAAGCATCTGAAATTTTTTAATGCAAGTACACGTTTTTTTCTACAGATGCATAAATCAAACTTTTCACATGTTACAAATTAAAAAATTCAAGGTGACTTTTGCAACATATCTACCTTCATAGTCATGGTATCTCACCGTGACAAAAATGTTTGTTATAAACAAAGAAAAAAGACCTTTAAAAACAAACTTATCCCTTAATAACATCTTTAAGATGTTTTTGTGTGACACATTTGCTCGTCTTTACCTCCACTGTTTCAGTAATTGGCAACTATTTTATAATTATGACATTGTGAACAACATTTCTGCTTGCCCAGCATCACTTTTAACTTTTTTTGGAGCAACCTACAAGCTGCTACAAATACTAATTACTGTGTGTCAAAATTTTCATGCATAATTGTTTCAATCACTCAAACAATACATCTTGATTAAAAAAGAAAGCATTACATCAGTCTTGCTTAGAGGATTCCTCAAAACAAGTTTTAATATGAAATTTTATGAGACTAAATGTTGATTTATTTTAGAATTTCTCAACAAAATAAAAACACCATGCTCCTCTGGTTTTAACGTCAAATTAAAAAAAAACATTTGCGCTTCAGTAATTTATATGGCAGAGGCTTCCTGTATACATTCTTCCACAGTTTAATTATATTGTGACTTGTTGTGGATAAACTAAAATTTGTTGTTAGTTGCAGCATTTTCTTTGTTTGTGTTCTGCAAACCATGAAGCTTCTACAATAGAAAGTGAAATAATGAAGATTTTCTGCCTCCTGCTCGTCCACGCTGCATGTCAGAGACACGTTTAAATCAAAGTGAGAGCTTAATATATCAGCATGCATTTTTCAGCCTGAACTAAGAATAAAATATAAATCTAATTTTAAAACCTCTTGCTTTATCCTCAGTCAGTTTAACTGGACTCTAAAGGCCACTTTATTGGGCAAGCTTGATCAGTGAGGCGCAGGTCCGGAGTTTGGAGGATGTTTTAGAAACTTGTTCCAGCTGACAAGAATGAGTTTGTGTATCTGTACGCTTTGAGCTTGACGACACAATCTGTAAATATTAAAATGACAACAAATTGTTCTTTCATGCAGTATTTGACATTCTAGTGTTCTCACTCCCTGATGGGCACCAGCTCCCCACGACCTGGAAAAGACAAACAGGTAAAGATGATGGATGGATGTTCAAAGAGCGAGAAACTGCTTCAATTTAGTCAACATTGATTTGAGTAAACATTTATTTTTATTGTTGCATCATAAAAAAGAGAAAGAAAACTTTTACTCCTTAAAGGTTGTGTTTCACCTGGACTCTGTAACGCCACTCTTACATAAATGAAAAATGTTAGTATTATTTTCATACAGGAATGCGTTTTACAGAATGACTTTGTTTGCTTTAATTTATTGTGTTTGTGCTTGTGTGTCGTTGCATTTTGCACAGTGTGACTGCTCCATTAGTTTGTTAATGGCTCGGTGTGTCAGTGTGGTTACACATGAAACCATTTCTGAAGGGTCAGTGAAAAGGCGAAGTGAACCAAAATATTGTTGTTGTTGATTTTGTTGTTGGTTTGTTTTGTTTTTGTGGACTCGGGTGCTTGGTACGGCACACCTGGGGGCTCTGATGTTGACTCACTTTCAGCTGAAGTGTACTTGAGTGTAAAGAATTCACAGTTGAATTGCACTGTTTCAGAGGTGTACAGTAGCTAAGTACATTTACTTTGTTACAGTACTTTACTAATTGTTTTTAGGATTTTTAATTTCATTAAGTATTTTTTAATCATAACATTTACTTTCATTTTGTTACATTTAAAAAAGGGAAATTATACTTTTACTTCTTTGTCTCACAATTTAACACCTAGTCATTTTCTGTTAAGGTATTTTTACTTTCACTTAGTTATTTCCTTTAAGTACTTTATATACTGACTGATAGGTTTGGAGACCTGTTTCCTATTTTAATGTGTTAAAACTCTGTCTCTTCTCACTAAACAAGCATCCAGTCAGACTGTAGGTTTTCGTGGACCAATCAGAGCTAACATCTAAACTTGAAGTGTGTTTGAACAGAAATGATCCTTAGACTGAAAACCCTGGAGGCGTGGGTGAGAAAAGCCTTTTACATGTGAAGAAGCACGGTGGAGTCAACTTTCATTGTTTTTTCTGGGGAGGGAGGCGGAGCCATGTCAGGGCGTGAGGGGTGTGGGGGATGATTGAATAAAATCTGAGCCTTTCCATTTATAGAAATAAACCAACCAGGGTGAGGTTAATGGCAGTGGGATCCTCCGGTCCTGGTTGGTTCTGATTTGAGGCTGCCAGAGCAGCCCTGTCTGGACGGGGTGGGGGGTGGGAGAGGTTGAAACTTTGGGCAACTGTTGGCCTTTCTTGTAAATTGACATTCTGTAATCTTGCTTGCACCTCTGATTTTTTACTTTTTTTAAAGAATCTAAAAGTAAATGGTCTGTGTGAGAGTGCGGGACTGCACTTTTTCTTTTTTTTATGTGATTGTGTGTTGTTAACTGGACAAAGAAAAGTTTTTCATTTGCATTTTTTTTTTTACTTCTAGAGGAAGATGAAATCTTTCTGGACATTTTTAACCCCTCTTTTCGTTCCTTTTGTCTTTCGGGGACCTGGGAATGCTTGGAAATGTGGGCAGTGGCCGCGTTGCTGCCATCATGCTGTCAGTCATTCTCTGTGAATTCATTTGGCTTTCAGAATTGACCCCCGTTTTACTCTGCGACCTTGAGTCCATTTTTTCCATTAAAAAATAGATGAAACTGAAAAAAAATGAGTTTTATCTTTGTTTTGCAGCTGTGTGTGTGTCCTCCACCTTTTTTTATTTGACTTCTTGGGGTAAATCATCTGCCTGTGGGGAGCAATAATGAAATTACCCATGTTTGTGTGTGTGTGTTAGCAAAATATCTCATCAACCACAAGAAGAATATTCATGTAGCTCTAAGAAATAAATCATTGGGTGTACGTACATTTACAAGTCATTCACTTTTGGAGTCACCTGATTAAAAATGGCTGCCATAGCTAAAAAAGGACACTAATGCATCGAGTAGCGAGCTACATTTTGGTGTGGTAGCTCAAGCATCAGCCCTAAGACATGCTTCATGCGCTAACAGATGGAGCAAGATTAATACTTAAACCTTAAGGTGGACTGTGGAGCAGTAGGATAGGTCCAGAGTGTCACACGTTTGATTCCCCACCATGCCCACATGCTGCCCCTGAGCAAGACACCCAATCCCCAAATGGCTGCTCCACCTGTGTGCATCCCATGTGTGATTAATTAGCAAAATATTTGTTGATCAGATTTAATGAAACTTTCAGACAGTGATCACGTTGTTATTACCTTCAAGTTTCAGACTCAACTCAATTCAAGATGTTTGACACAACTAACAATCAATTATAATTGGGATTCAATCGTTTTCAGTAATTTTTCGGATTTTAAGTAAAAATTTAGTAGAGGTATCAAACTAATGTTCACCCAGGGCCACATGGACCACAAAGGGCTTAATGTTACGTGTTTAACTGACTAAACACAAAACATCACGTTCCTTGTCTAATTGCTTCTCCTGAGCACTGCTAACAAACAATAACTGAGCTCTACATGGTATTTCATGCATAGAAACAAAGTTTTAACATCTCCTATTATAAATACTGAAAAACGTATGACTAACTAAATGTGAAATAAATGATACAGGAATACTAAAATGTAGGCTTTTTTCACTCTTGAGTTGTGGGGAGTAGCTGCCATCTTGAGTTCTGAACTCTCCACATTCTGAGAGGAAATTCCCACTGCAGAGCTGTTCATGCTAACAGATGTGCTAACACAACAGGGCTGCAGCGAAAATAGCCGGTGAAAATGCAGAGAATTATGCCAGCTGCCAGTTACTTTTTGTGAGATTTTGTGGCATTGCATGAAAAATGTTGTTTTCAAGACTTGACTAAGCAGGATAAAACTGCATCATTTTTCAAGATAAGATGATCTGTTTAAAATTCTGGCATGAAAGGTTTTCATTGATTCCTTCAAACGTTTATTATTTCTGTGGGTTTTTTTTAGACAACAATCTGTGTTTAGTTTGCTTATCAGTATGAGTCAGGATGCTTTCTAAGTTTTAATTTTAATTCCTTTTTGTTTATTTTGTTTTCAGGTGAAAAGAACTAGTTCTGTCTCACGTGAACTTACTCTGGTGGGCTAAAAGATGAGGCCAGCACCATCTCCCCCCACCTTTCTCTGTGCTGACTGCAGTCTTTCAAATCAGCCTGTTCAAAGACAGCTTTCACCTAAAATAACAAATTATCTTTTCCAATTTAAATTAAACACACTTAAACTAGACCCTTCTCTTTTTTTCACCACTCTCCAAAATGATTCGAACCTATTCAAGCTCCTGAAAGAGATTTAATTGGCTACGACTTCACAAAAGACGTGTGGATGTGAGGAATGGGAATGTTTTGCCAAGATGGCTGATAATCTCTAAACGTGGAGACAAAAAAAAAGAGCACCATTGTCCACGATTGTTTTCTAGAAGTGGTGCAGAAGAGAATAGACTTTGCTATTCAGGGCAGGTACGACTTTTATTTGTGATGTATTCCTGGAGATGAGACATTCATCACTGCTGCAGCAGCATGGTGAAGCCAAGCTCATCAACAGTTTCAATTTTTTTTGTCTTCATCTTCTCTGCTTCCTTCCAGGAGGCAGAACATAAAACCTTGTGCACACTTGGTTCCAGCGGGTGAATAAAAGTATTTTAACAATGCTTTCTCAAAAAAAAAAAAAAAAAAAGACAATTCCTCCATCCATCCTTTGGCAGCTCTCCAGCCTTTTTCCAAAAAATCCTGCACACCACCCCCAACTCCAGCCATCCTGCGCGCACAGAAACCCACACAAAAAAAACCTGCCTGCATGCCACACAGACATACAGACGTGTGTGCGCACGCCAACATGCACTTTCACACAAAATCACTTTACACACACACGCACACTCAGCCTAGAGCTCCCATCTTATGAGCTTCATTACTCTGACCTCAGTCTTCCTTCATATCTCTGAGGATTTTGATGCTGCATGTTTGTGTGTTTTAATACCCAACAGAGTACACACATGTATATTTATTTAGACCCAGAGTACAAAAGAGTGTTTAAATGTGTGCGTATTTGTGTGTAAAGTGGCTACTATATGTCAGTGCATGCTGAACTGTGTGTGTGTGTGTGTGTGTGTGTGTGTGTG